GAGAGCCCATATTTTGGAAGAAGCTACTGCCATAGAGAAATATCCAAAATATCCCAGCATCAACTAATCATTCCGTAGATGTGGAACGCTATTTGACCCGTCTGTCCAAGAACTGATTAGGGGATGCAGGATATCAGCTATTGTGCTCTTGAAGGCAAGACGTATGACAGAATCGCTTCGAAGAACAAATCATGCATCGTAAGCCAATTGGGTTAACCAAGCTTTCCATCATTCGGTGTAGGTTATACTTGTCTCAAAAGCACTCGGTTATACATAAGCCAATTCCCGCGAAGTAATTGGGTGTATACGCTAAATCACATTCAAAATGCCACTACGATTATAAAAGTGAATGCATGGCGCACTTCGAAAATAGGCCGACCAACGCCGATTCCCTTCCCTTCTTTCAGAACCTTGTCGACGAAAGTGAGTAATGGCGCGCTTTGATGCAAGTAATTAATGAAGAGGCCTAGGGAAAGGCCTATTACCTAAAATTTGCCTATAGTAAATTACAGCAACTCTGAAGTGGAAGCCCATTCGATTATCCGCTTTTTTCTGACTACATTACTCTCTTCCACTTGTGCACCACTAGGCTTATCCAGTTCCCATGATTACATCAACCCTTCACTCACTGAGCCTCATAGGGTTGGCGTTCGTCTGAGTCAGAGGTGAAACAACCATGTTTTGTTTTTAGTTGATTCACATCATACATATCATTATTCCACTTATTAGAGCATTTTTTGCAAGCACCTAGCCCTAGGCAACACCGCAACGCAACCGCTCGCATCTTCACTTGACATTTTCCAAAACAAAACAATTTTCAACAACCCACCAACATTTCATATTTCAGCATTAACAACATTATCCGAAATACTCCTCAATGAGGCATCCTACGGTACAAGGAAATTCACCTGTACATAGCTGCTACCAGTCGAAGGGCCAACTTTTTCGCAGCCGCTCTGCATGTGTCACGAACTGCAGTCATCAGTTGACCGGCAATCGCAGCGTCCTCAAAATCACACGACAATCAATTCAAGAGTAACAATCTAACAACAACCTCATGAACAACAGAAATAAAAATAAAAGTGATAAAAGACTAATGAACCTCTTCATCAACGCTCCATTCTTCGACGATGACCGCAACACCTCTCATCACTTCGTGACAAAGAGGCCCTGCTGTCACAAACATTTCGAAACCGGACATAATAGCCTGATCGAACGGACGAACACCAAATTCGGACTCTGAAAACGGAGAGTTGAGCGTTTCGTTGGGCTTTGTAGGATATCGGTTACACAGTGAGCATACAGGAGATAACACATCAAAAAAAAAACTAAATTAAACCTAGGTCAACCGTCACATTGGTACTTTTCAAAAGCTTTGCGACCCCCTCGTGTCACAAAATTAATAATAAACTATGCATAAATATAAACAATAATAATAATGCAACCCCTACTACCAAAACATCAATCTCTCACAAGGGAAGGATACCAGGTCGAAGTGGCCATTTGTAACGAGACATACACCACTAGATGTGTTTTTGGACGCTTATCTCAAATCTGCTCTCCAAATCTGCGAAACGACTCTTTGAACGTAGTTATGAAGCGAGATAGTGCAGTGGCAGCGGTGCGGCTCAACGAACGAGAGGTCGTGAGTTCGAGTTCTTGGCGAGTTCTCACTTTTGCTTTTCTTGTGAACGTTGTTTAAGGGACTCTTATCCTATGCTAAGTTATCAGCGATTGCCTATAGCACAAGTAAACAGAGCTGGCGAAGAGCTTCGAGCACTGTGCGCGTCATTTGCAAGTGACCGCCTCTGACACCCGTAGCGCACGTGTAAGGCAATTTCGTGCCAAGCAGATGCGATATTCGTGTTCAGCGCGTCGAAACACCCCTTTCAACAACATTTGGTCCAAATCTAAAATTTTGACCTGAAGTCGAAAATGTGGGCAGTCATCTATCCATCAACCCACTGTCAGAGCCTGATCGTGGGATTGAATTAAACTTTCAGTCATTATTGTGAAAGAGATATAGTTGCCTGCTCTACTTGCTCGTGCCATCCGAAGATTAATATGATATTTTTTCATGTACACGCTCGCTGCCCAGGAGGAGCAGGAGGGTAGTGGCTGGGGCTAGGGATAACACCTACGACTCATTGTAGACCGAGTTTCGAAATTGGGTCCAAATGTCAGCTTTCTAGAATTAAGCCTTCAAAGATAGTTTGGTCCGTTGAGCAAGCATCTCCCATTTGTTTAGCCCATCGTCGGATATACGTCACTTCCGTGGCGTAGAAACACCCTCGGCAAGGGTCGAAACATTACGAAAAAGTGGAATGCGTTAAACAAACCCCTCTAAACATGCGTTAGCTTTGGATGCAGTGAAAATTTCAACACTGAATAAAAACGCAAAAAACCCATGCCCCAGCGATTCCCATCCAAATTACTCACCACTGAAGCCGCCAAACATTACCGACTAGCCAAACCGCCGCTCGGCAAGAGCCCGCAGCATCTGCCGGGTCCTCTACCAGTTGGCTTTCATCGAAACAACCATCGTTAACATTTCTCCAGAGAACAATCCGTCCGCAAATTTGAGAGTGATCGAGGTCTACGTTCCAAAACCAATCTCCTGAAATATATCCCAGTCCTCTCATAGCGAGGCCACTTCGACTTGTATCCTCTCCCCCATGTAGTAGCTCCCCCAACAGCAGCCCTTTCTCTCTTCTCCAAACATCCACCCTCTCCCTCACTCATCATTGGACTTATTTCTCCACGGTAATCCTGAAAAAAAGTCGACAGACCCAACCTACGCACCACACATTATTTTATACGAGGGGGGGGAGTAAAATGGTATCATGACACGAAAACGAACCAAATCTCACCAATTTTGCCTTAATTGTCCGCTAACTTTCGGTGAAACTCTAACGCAACCCTTCGTTGAAAACCCGTCTTATCACACCCCTGCAATGACCTCCTTCAACCTAGTTTCCACTATATAATCTGCCAACCCCAAAACACAACCCCCTTCCGAAATCACAAAATCGACCCCCTGAATGGGCCTCGTCGACATAGTCAGTGGACGTTGACCTAAGGCGGTCGAAAACGTCTGCATGGGGCTCCACAAAATATAAATCACTTACTGCTTTCCCATATGGACTTCCGCTGATAGCTAGGAATCGCGTTGAACAAAATGTTGGCTTTCGCTCGATCAGGACCAAAGCCCCAAATCTAATAATATAGTATGAAAGAAATTTTTAAATATGAAATATTCATTATAATCAAAGCCATAACTTATCAATCATTTCCGTGATATCCGCTTTGTTCTTTCTATACCACCACGATCCCCGACATGAAGGAAGGTGATCTTCACAAGTTTTCAATAATTTTGATCTAAAAAGGACATAAACGAAAGTGTGACAGAGAAAGCATTCTGAGGTATATTAAATAATCCAATTTAACTGTTGAAAGCAGTCATTACCTGAAATCCGCTAACGGGGCTTCTTCAATGACGCCTCTTTTGATCGAGTGCAATACCTCTGCAGATTTTTCCAACAAATCGACAACCTCATCAGGTAATGGAACTACCCGTAGGCGGATGTGTAGCGAATCGCCGCGTACTCGACACTCCTGAACGTCAGTTTTTTACTGTGAAACCCGCTAGAGGAGTTATGATACACGAGTGGTACAACGTTTTACTTGCTTGTTTCATGGGATACCGGAACCCTCATATGTATTTGGCCAAACTATCCTATTGAAAGCGCATTATAGATAGTGTTTTGAAGAAATAAAAACAGTGTTTTGGAAATTGTTCACATGTATACCTTCATTGACTATATTTCCGAAGAGGTGTTACGATATTGAACGGGAATTCGGAGATATGGCGTATCCGTAAACGAATGAAAGCGTGAGAAATCTATTTCTGCTTATCTATCACGTCCAGGAGAAGTGTGTAGTAGGTGCTTTTGCCAAACAAACCAATTGGACATGTTTTTAAAACCAAAAACAAAAAAAAGTAGGTAATAGGTTAAGTTAGTTAGCGGTGTTAGTTGAGGGTTAGAATTCCAGAAAAATGATTTATATCCGCTAAAATTTGAAAAGGTGACTAAAATTCCGCAGCTATGTCGCCGTAAAAGCGCTGAAATCCGAATAAATATGACTGCAGCGTCAACGCATCGTCCGCATCAACAATTGCCCTTAAGTCCAACCCGTCCTAAAATTTAATTGTGGATCAGACTTAATCCATAGGACCTATACCAAAACAATGACAAATACGACCCTGGCCCTCACAACTGTGCTGGACAAATACGCATACAAATGTCACTACGACTAGATGAAATTTAAACAAATGGCGTGTTCCGTAAAAAAGTTGAACAAGGCCAAATAAATATTGGATTTATTAATGGGAATGTACAAATGAAGACAACTCATTATATTAACATCCAAAACAGAATTTTATACTCTGAGGTTTAGGCCGAAACTAAATGTACAAACTTGTTTAGAGAATAAGACAACATGCCTCTAGGTCACTACACATGTATTCGCTGGAAAAAAAATTATATATCCATAAAACTTTCACATATCTGCCTGTCTATTGTACACTGCTTCAATCTTGTATGCCATTCTTATCTTTGGGTCACCCTGATGCAATATAAATAAATAATAAATATATAAATAAATAAATAAATTATATAAAATAAATAATAAATAATAAATAATAATGCAAATGCACTAGAAAACGGCGATACCGTTACTTGATCCTGAATTTGAGCAAACGTCAACTGTGTGTCAGGAATTATCGTCTCCAAAAAATGGAACAATTGGTTTAGATACCTGAAAAGTGCATATTTTCCAAACTTGGTTCAGTTCCAGAGCAGTACAAACAACAAATAAAAAATGGTGGAAAGCATGCCCTATGCTCAAACTGGTTTGGTTCTTGTGCACGAAACTAAGCGTTGTCATGAATGAGAGCCGACACTAAGAAAAAAGGAAAAGAATCTTCGGAAAACCTAAATCAAGAACTTGCCCATTTTTGCGCTACAGCTATGAGAGACTGAGCAAAGAGGAGAGAAGACAGACGATACAGCATAATGGATGGAGAGAGCGCAGAAAGCAGCATGTTAAGGACGAGGAAAATGAGTGCGGTTGCTGCGCGGAAGCAGTCCATTCTGCTAGTAATCTAACAGTATAGAAAAAGATCATCCACGCCGTAAGTTTCGTATTACCTTACGGTAAACATAGGTTTTGATGAGAAAGGAAATCCACCAGCTCGGAACGCGCACATTTCTCATGAATCATCGTCACTGGGACGGAATATTGCTGGTTCTGTTCAACACCCCGAAACCAGCTATGTATAGTGACACATAAACAACCTCCCTCAGGCTCTAAGCACTCTTGTATTGCAAGAGGCCCCCTTACGTTAAGTGAAACAAGCCAGCGTGCCCTCGACTGATTTGTGCTCACTAAGAAATCAACAACTTCCAGACGTCCTGGAAGAAAGGAGAAAAAAGAATGAAAACTAGTAAAGCAGGAGAGATCAAATTATTTACAGTAGGAGGGTGTGGGACGTGCAGCAGAGCTAAAATCCAAGTTCGTAACGATTTGACCTGATGAAAAGATCCATGGAAGAGAACGGCAACGCTTAGTTCATGCAAAGTCGTATATGGCATTTTCCAAATTTTCCGAATTAAATAGCTTCCCAACAGTAAACTCGACTCGCCATTCAAAAGTGGACATGAAAACCATTATAAAAAAATAAAAAATTCTTTACAACGAAATTCTGTTACCGTACCTCTAAATCCGTAAATCCGAGATCTTCCAAGTCTTTCAAGCATTTCTGCAAATGAACTTCACCCGCGGTGATCATTGCCAGTTCTCCATTATCAAGCTCAAGCACCTAAATCGCACTTTTGATATGTAAAAAAGCGAGTGCCAGATGAAATTACAAAACAATTCACAGCAGCTAAAATGCCTTCACAACTGAGAAACACTTACTCGAAGACTTGGATCCAGCACCGAGAGCACTTTTAAATCTTCTTTCAATCGGTCCATATCGTCCAGATTTGCCGTGTTTACCGATACCCTAACCAACGGCTCTCCTTGCTTCAATCCAACATCCAAACCTTCGCTAACGGCTTCCGAGCACAGTGTTGAGTTCTACAACAGCTTCGAGAGTGAACTGTTGATGCTCATGTAATATGGACCACTAGATGGGTCTATCAGCACAGTAAACATATATTTCAGCAGTAAAGTTCTATAATTGCTTCAGACCGCTTACGACTTCACGCCAGGGGATCGTGAATTGCGCACGCCCACCTCATGCATCTACCCACTTCCACCTAACGAATCCTTCGGTATCTGTGCCTCACTTTGGGTACCCGACAGGAGGCCCGTCGCGCGGCAAGAAGGCAGAGTCAGCGGACGAGTCGCAGCGCGTGATGTGCGATGTAGGACGTGCAATGGACATTCTATTTAACTTGACGCGAAATCACTATAGTACGCGCTGCGACTCGTCCGCTGACTCTGCCTTCTTGCCGCGCGACGGGCCTCCTGGGCAGGGTCAACCCGCCCGTTGCGCAAAGAACAACGAGGGGGTCGTATTCAGCCGACCGAAAAGGGAGGGGGTCGTATCCAGAAGACGGGCTGCAAGACGGCTTGAAAAGTGCAGTGTCCGGGAGTGCACTTTCACCTCTAATGTTCTCCAGGAGCTCTGCACCGTGCAGCTGTCGGAGAGTCACACAGACAAGAGCTCCATGGGAGCATTAGAGCATGCAGAGCATTATAAGTCTCACTATCAGCCATTATTATCCTTAATACACGGACGGCGCTTTCGCTCGACAGCATAGATCAAGATTACAATAGCCAAAAACTTTGTTACAGCGTAGTGCAAAAACATGGTCTGTCTTCGATGATCGAACATTCCTGAAATCCCAAGGAGAACAAAGTGTAGAGCAGTTCATGGGGGAGTGAAACAAGAGTACCATATGACAGTACATTGCAACTCAGTCACGATACTAACACCTTCTTCAGGAAAATGGAGGACTTTCAAAGTGCGACTTCTAACCACAGACAGGTGCGCGGCGTATACCCGAGCAGGCGTTTTCCCACAAAAACGCTTTCTCTGTCAGGGGCCGTGAGCAAACAAACTTACAAAGAAAATTTTGATGATGCCAAATCAAATCTAAGCGGAACAAATTGTAGCGAACTTGCTGTATTGAGTTCTAGAAACCCCTTAGGAAATTAAGGCAGAAAAAAGAACTTCAGGGGAATTTTATACTATTTTTCGAAGTACTCTTCGAGTAGATTCTAACAGATCTTTACCGCTTCTCATCACATTAATTTTGAAGGAAGTTATGGGCCTTTGAAGACTGCATAGTCGCGGTCCAGGAAAATGGCTTGAAAAAAATCAAGGTGGAAAAAACGGAACAACGGGACTATTTTTTGAGCGAGTGATTATTTCAAAAAGTTTTAGCACCTATTCGAAAGCTCTAATTCTAGTTTCTAATTAGCCTTGAACATATTGCAAAAGTTTGAGTATGAAGAAAGTTATTAACGTTTGAATGTCGAAAACTCGCGCCTTCTCAAAAATCGGACCCACAAACCCCCAAAACGGAACAACGGGACTATTTTTTGAAAAAATGATCGCTGGAAAATTTTCAGGTGCTTGTTCGAAAGCTCTAATCTTCTAGTTTCTAATTAGCCTTAGACATTTGCAAAAAGTTGATTATGAAGAAAGTTATGAATGTTTGAATGTCGAAAACTCGCGTGTGCACAAAAAACGGAACAACGGGACGATTTTTTGAAATATTGAACATCCGCAACATTTCAAATACTTTTTAGGAAGAGAACTATTTGAATTTTTAAAATTTTGGTGTCCGGTTCCATGAGACCGCTTCTGAAGAAAATATAACCTTCTGAATGGAGGGGTTTGGATTGCAACGTAATTGCTACAAGGTTTAGTTTTTCAGATTATAAAATAAGGAAAATTGAGAGATCGAAAAAAAACTTGGTAGGTTTCTGAAAGTAGAAATCTTTGTGATTAAAATCATGTATTGGTTTACGCAAAAATTGGAAATTCCTTTATTTGAATAAAACTTCATGTTGCCTCGATTCCCTCCTCTGAGCGAGACAGAGCGCGCGGATTGACCACGGTCCACCACTTCTCCATGTTGGTGACTGCCCACACATCAATGATGAGCATTAAATTATGTGAAAGACATAATAGTTAATACGGGGGTCGTACCGATACCCCCGAAAAGGAAGGGGGTCGTAAAAATTTTGGAATTTGCGCAACGCAAGGGTTGGCCCTGACCTGAACAGTTCGAATTGTCCCCCAGTCTCTCGTTTTCAGAGGCTCCTCCAATGCTCAAAAACATGACAGCTCGCTATTTCAAATTCTCGCCCTTTTACTTTCGTTTCATTTGGAAGAATTCTAGTAAAACGAGCTCGAGCGTGAGAATTATCTTAGTTGAGAGACAGGTCAGGTTCTTAAGGAAGCGGCGACACGCAATGCGCAGCGAGTGGACTATAATGTGCTCGGCGATTTGGCATGGCATTCCCACAACGTACTGGCGCTCGGAACGCCCCCTGACTCATCTTGCCGCAGGACTCTATAAGCAACTAGCGACTATATAGCAGAGAGAGCGTTAGCGTTGAAGAGAGCGTAACGATGAGAGTGAAACCAACGGGCAAGGAAGAGGTCCCATTTCTCGAGTTCCAGGATGTTTCACATGGTTTCTTCTTCATCCCTGCCTCACTGACCACCTTTTCCAATAAGCTACATTTTCATCGTAAAATCCGCATTCAATTGTGCGGTGACAATGGCTTCAAATACGCGTTCCACTACCAACTTCTGCTGAAGCGAATATACTTCTTGGTTGGGACGAGGAAATTCGTGCGACAAATGGTTTAAGGGAGCTCACTTGCAATTCACAAAAGAAGTCACAGAACTCTTTTCAAAAATAAGAATTTTTTGAAAAATGCAATAATATAATACATATACACATTTCTCCACGTAATGAATCAGAACTCATACTAGGCATAGCTTCGGCCACTACCTACCTGTACGAGACTTGAGCATCAATGGCACAGATCACTCCTGCTGTAGCTTTCTCCAAAGGAATTACGTCTCGACCTCGTAACGCCCACACACTCTCTACAGTGGCCTTCGGTGCCTCGGAACCGTCTTTCCTGGCCTTAAGAAAAGATGTACTAGCGGTTGAGCTTTCTTGAAAACTGCCAAATATACCTTTCGTCCTAGCACGTACAAGATCGCACCCGCAGTGATCTGTCCACTGAAAATTCGGCACACCGCTAACTTACGATCCTCAAATCGAACAAATTTCACAACAAGTGCCACAGTCGGTCCTAAAGGGCTGTTCATTTCCACTTTACAAATTTGAAGTGATGAGGGATTGCATTACCTGTAGGAGAGCAGTCCTTTATCGCTTGAGCAAGCGGGTGATTCTCCTTGTTTCCAACTAGGTACTGCATCCTGTAACCAACTCATCTCAATGTCCCAAACCCTAGATAAGAACCTACCAACGATACAAATAATTTCGATAACCTCACCGATGATTATTTCTGAAAGCAGTTCGCGCAGAGGGCGCACGAGCACATGCCTTGAAACATGCCACTGGAAGAGGAAGCCACGTTCTCATGCCTTCATCAAAGGCATCGTGAATGCGACGAGATTTTATAGTCACTCCAAGTTTACCTGAAAAGACTCATTTCAACAGCGATGCCACGAATACAAGACAGCAAGGATGGAAACCTGCCCCACCCCCTCTTGGAAAACTGAATTCACTGAGAACTTAAAATTATTTTTTTTTTTTTTAAAAGTAAAAAT